GGTGTCCAAGTGCCCTCTGTGTGCCCCCTGGGTGTCCAAGTGCCCTCTGTGTGCCCCCTGGCCTGTCTGTGGGCCCCCTGGGTGTCCAAGTGCCCTCTGTGTGCCCCCTGGCCTGTCTGTGGGCCCCCTGGGTGTCCAAGTGCCCTCTGTGGGCCCCCTGGGTGTGTCTCTGTACTCATGGTGCCCTCTGATTGGGTCTCTCACTGTCCTTCACTCCCTCATGGTGCGCTGTCCCTCTCCCCCTCCCCCTGTGCCCCAGGAGAAGAGGGACCAGGCCGAGCCCGAGCTGTCGGAGGCCCAGAAGGCGAGACAGTCGATCCAGGAGGTGAGGCGCAGCCTGCCCGTCTTCCCCTACCGCGCCGACCTGCTGGCCGCCATCGCCGAGCACCAGGTGCTCATCATCGAGGGCGAGACGGGCTCGGGGAAGACCACCCAGATCCCGCAGTACCTGCTGGAGGAGGTGAGCGGGCCCCGCGCCTGTCTGTCTGACTGCTCGCCTCCGTCCGTCTGTCTGTCCGTCTGTCTGTCTGTCTGTCTGTCTGTCTCCCAGCTCACCTGTCTGCCTGTCTGTCTGTCTGACTCCCAGCTCACCTGCCTGTCTGTCTGTCTGCCTGTCTGTCTGACTGCTCGCCTCTGACTGCCTGTCTGTCTGTCTGACTCCCAGCTCACCTGCCTGTCTGTCTGTCTGTCTGTCTGTCTGTCTGTCTGACTCCCAGCTCACCTGACTGTCTGTCTGTCTGACTGCTTACCTGTCTGCCTGCTAGCTCACCTGTCTGCCTGACTCCCAGCTCACCTGTCTGTCTGACTGCTCGCCTCTGACTAACTGTCTGTTTGTCTGCTGACCTGCCTGTCTGTCTGACTCCCAGCTCACCTGTCTGTCTGTCTGACTCCCAGCACACCTGACTCCCAGCACACCTGTCTGTCTGTCTGTCTGTCTGTCTGACTCCCAGCTCATCTGCCTGCCAGCTCACCTGTCTGTCTGTCTGCCTGACTCCCAGCTCATCTGCCTGCCAGCTCACCTGTCTGTCTGTCTGCCTGCTCACCTGTCTGCCTGCCTGCCTGCTCACCTGTCTGTCTACCTGCCAGCTCACCTGTCTGCCTGCCTGCTCACCTGTCTGTCTCTCTCCCAGGGCTACACCGAGGGGGACAAGAAGATCGGCTGCACGCAGCCCCGCAGGGTGGCGGCCATGAGCGTGGCGGCCCGGGTGGCGCAGGAAGTGGGCGTCAAGCTGGGCAACGAGGTGATGATGACGTCACTTCCTGTCGGGGGGGGCGCCGCACGCGGGCTCTCTCGCGGCGCGGG